AGTTATGAATATTTTTTCCGGGTAAACTCCTCACGGCTAAGACTTTCCGAGATATAGCCGAGAGCTATTCTTAGTGGTGAACACTCTGTACAATAACTTTATTATAAACCCAAAGAATATAACAGTAAATCAACGCACTAGAATATTTTTATTACAAACAAGAAACCTCAACACGCACTTTAACCCTCTTTCTTTTTCCAATAGTTTATAAGTTTTCCATATATTTGTAGCACCCTGTATCTGTTTTTGATTTTAGCGTCATTTTGTATTTATCCAATTAATAATTAAATATTAATAAATTTATAAAAAAATAAAGATAATTTGACTCTAAAAATTTTAAATTAATTTATTGGAATTGAAAAGGTTTTTGATTTTAGTATAGCATGTATTAGTAATATATTAAATGGAAATTTTTAGAGGGGGGCAAGCTGGGGCAAGATGTTAAATTAGTTTCGTTATTAGAAAGGCTTAATCTACCTTGTGATATATATAAAGTCTTGGCCAACTTTGGCCATTTTTTTATTTTTCTACATACACATTTTTTTGCTACTAAATATAGTATTTAGCAGCAAAAAAATGTTTATGTGTCTCTTATATACAATTGTTCTCCCAAACTTTTGTGACTATATATATCTTTTATTTTAAAGTGAAAACAATCGTTTGCACTAATATGTATAGTTAAAAAAAATTATTAATGTCTTTGCCAGTTTTTATAAAACTAGGTTGTTTCACAAGAAATGAATACCATAATTAAGTCAGTGTAATATCTTCATTTGAAACTTTTCAAACAGATATATAATTAAAAATATTTTTTTGAGTTGGATAAAATATAACGGTCTGGACTTTAAGTAATTCAAATCTTCTACCAAAATTATTTAATTTAAAATTTTATTTTTAAGTCAATGTCCAACATTTTATATTGGGTCTTTCCACAGTGCGCCATTGACGGCAAAATACTAAGTTGGTACGGACACCTCCAACGAATGGATGATAACCGATGGCCGAAAAGAATTCATTCATGGACACCAAGCGAAAGGCGGAAACGTGGAAGACCACCTCGAAGATGGAAGCAGGGCGTAGTTGACGCTATGAATTCTAGGGGCCTCCAGGAAGAAGACTGGACAGACAGAAATATGTGGAAGTTGAGAAGCGGGAGACGACGAATGTCGTAAAAATCCGCAATATATATTATATATATATTTTAAATTTATTTGAAAAACGGTAAAGAGAAAAAATGTATCTTTTATCGAGATCTACCAGCCCTGAAAATATTTGCACTTATTTAAAACTCACCCTGTATTTTGATTTTATTCCGGGTGCGTTTCAAAAGTGGCTCACCTCTATAACTTTTTTATTTTTCCAGATAAAAAAATAATATTTTGTATATTAGTATATGACATAAATTAGGAGTGGCTGAAAAGAATTGATTACGCCAATCAATCCTAATTTATGTCATATACTATCATACCAAATCTCATTTTTTTATCTGAAAAAATGGAAAAGTTATAGAAATTAGCCTGTTTTTTTTTCACTCAATAAACCAACAATGATCTCTCCTATTATTTGTTGTTAAATTTTTGGCAGTATTTTTTTAATAATTTATCCTTTATAGTTTATAAATAATATCCTTACCCATTTTCTGTAATGTAATGTATATTTTTGTATATTTTTTAATTTTATCAGATTTTATATTTTTACATTTTAATACACACAATTTTTAGATTGGTCCTGGTATAGACCTCTATTCTAGACCTACTGTCGCCTGGTGTTGCTTGAGCTTGAATACCTCCATCATAGCATTAAAGTAGGTTCAAAGAAATATGTTTGACTGCATTAATTGAATTTAAATACCATTAATCAAGTGCCTTGTTATTTAAAGAAATTTAAATTAGTTTCAGACAAATTTCTAAATAAAGTGATTTATAAATTTGGAATGGTTTTATTGCCTTAAAATAGTTAAAATATTGATCAAACTGTCAGAATATAATGTGTTCTAGTTCTAGTAATATCCTTATAACTATTTAGTAGCGAGTATTTTGAGATTAACATTTAATATAATTTTGAACAGCTACATTATTATAATATTTAAATTAGGTACAAAAGTATGCAGATGCAGATCACTTAGCAAATACGGAATGATCGAAAAAAAAGGGCGTCAAAGACGGCTGGGGAATGACAATCGATCATAATTTTAACGAGGTCAAGCTGTAGACGTCATTTACTAAAAATTGACATAAAATTTGTCAACAATTCAAACTACTCGTAATTATACGAGTAGATAGATTAAATAAAGATATAACGTTTCCAGACACCCAAATCTATTTGCAGAAAATCATTTTTCTCGAATTTTAAACTACACCATTTAAAAATCATTTTTACTCAATATAAAAATGAATTTCAACCTTCTTAAGGCCAACCAGCAGTAAGCCCCATTAAAACGAAAAGAAGAGTACGGGCCGAGTAAATGGCGTCTTCTGCAGCCGTCTTGACGCCGTTTTTTTTTCGATGGTATATTATAATAACAAATTTTCTATGGCATAAAATAGAAATATACCGAGAGTGCCATTTAAAAATCAAAAGTTGTAGTAATTTCCGGTGAAACAGGAAGTGACCAAAAACAAATGAATATGTCAATTAATCCTAATGTCGTATACTAACATACCAAGTCTCGTTTTTTCATCCGAAAAAATAAACAATTTATAGGCGTGAGCCACTTTTGAGACGCACCGGGTATATAGAGTTATAAGAAATAGAATTCCAACTTCGGCAGTCTCGTTCTGGTATAAATGCTCTTTGAAAACATTAGTACCGTATGATCAAATAAAAACGGCGTCCAGTTGGCTTGGAAATGACGATCGATGGCATTTCCTATATAAATTTACATATAAAATGACAGCGATCTTCATTTCATAGCCATCGCTGACGCCGTTTTTATTCGATCATACGGTATTTAGTTGCAAGCAGTTGCATTATTTTTCTATATGAACATTTCTTTTCTTTTTCACAATCAATTATTTCGTGCAGAATCAGTATATAATCATATACAGTTATTTCGGCTTCAAAATGAGGATCAGCCAGTGTTTGAGATGCATTTCTTTGTGATTTTTTTTTGTGTGATTCCTTTAATGAGAAAATTCTACGATTCTGCTACCATTTTCCGTGTATTATTACATATTCAATCCGGAACAATCAAAATCACCAAAAGATTGATATCTTTCCCACTACTGGAAATAAATTAATTTAATTAATGAGACAAGCTTTTTTTGATAATAAAGATATTGGGATCCTCAACAGCTTCTTGCGAATGAATATTTGCCTCATATAATTTTAGGACATATCGGCGATTCTTCTTCTTTCCATGCCGTCTTCTCATAGAAGGTTGGCGACCACTTTTCTAAATTCTTCTCTGTCTTTTGCAACATGGAACAATTCTCCAACGCCAAGATTTGTCCACTCTCTAATGTTTCGGAGCCAGGATTTTTTCTTTCTGCCGATACCCTTCCTCCCCTCAATTCTGCCCTGCATAATATTTTGTAACAGTAGATATTTGTCACTGCGTAATATGTGTCCCACGTAAGATGTTTTTCTTATCTTAATGATTGTGAGAAGTTTTCGTTTTCGGCCTATGCGTCTCAACACTTCGTCGTTGCTTATTCTATCAGTCCAAGGTATCTTCAGAATGCGCCTATAGAGCCACATCTCAAATGCTTCGAGCTTTTTAATCATTTGAGTCTTCAGCGTCCAAGTTTCTACTCCGTACATTAACACCGACCACACATAACACTCCACGAATCTCAACCTGATGACAAGGTTTAAATTTCTGTTTGTGAGCAATGTGGAATATTTCATAAATGCATTTCGAGCCATTTCAATTCTGATCTTAATTTCCTGATCAGGGTCCATTTCAGAATTTATGGTAGAGCCGAGATATTTGTATTTTTGGACCTGCTCTATTCGGTTCCCATTTACTGTCAGAATAGGGTTAATATTTGGGTTTTTGCTTATGACCATCATTTTAGTTTTCTGCGTGTTTATAGCAAGTCCCACTTCTTCACACTCTCGACTGACTCCTTCCAACAGGGTTTGAAGATCTTCTGCACTCTCCGCCATTATGGCAGTATCATCGGCGAATCTTAGGTTGTTAATCAATGTCCCTCCAATGTTTACTCCCTCAGGTCTCTCGTAAAGTGCTTTTTGAAATACAAACTGAGAGTATAGATTGAACAGTTGTGGTGATAGAACGCAGCCCTGGCGAACTCCTTTTTGAATCTCGACTTCATCAGTCTCGATGTCCCCAACTCGAACCACTGCCGTTTGATTGTAGTAGATATTTTTTATTAATTGTATATCACTTGGGTCCAATTTGATGCTCTTTAAGTTCTCTATAAGTTTGTCGTGTTGGACTTTATCAAAGGCCTTTTGAAAATCAATGAAACAGACATACACATCTTTATTGTATTCTCTACATTTCTGTAGCATTACTGTGATGGCAAATAAAGCCTCTCTAGTTCCCAGACCTTCTCTAAAGCCAAACTGCGTCTCATCCAGTTGTTCCTCGCATTTTCGATATATTCTCTGTTGGATTATCCTCAAGAGTACCTTCAGAGTATGACTCATCAAACTGATTAGCCGATACTCATCACAGGACTTGGGGTTGTTCTTTTTAGGCAGAGGGATGAAGACCGATTTAAGCCAGTCTTTTGGGATTTCTCCTGTTTCGTAAATTTTATTGAGCATTATTGTGAGTTGAGTTAAGTTTCTATCGTCTAAGGCCTTCAAGAATTCTATTGGTATATTATCAGGTCCGGTCGCTTTTCTGCTCTTTGATGTTTTTATAGCATACTCCACTTCTGATTTTAAAATACATAGCTGTTCCGCCTGGTTGCTCTCATCTCTGACGTCATCTCGTCTTGCTGCAAATAGATGTTCAATGTATTCCTTCCAAGTTTGTCTTTTGCCTTCTTCTGTTAACTGTATATCTCCCTGTGCGTTTCTTGTGATCATCGGTATTCTTTTTTTTTATTTCCAGTTAATTCCTTTAACTTTTTATGTAGATTAAAATAATCATGTTTATTGTTCAGTTGTTCCATTTCACGGCAATTCTCCTCCATCCATGTCTCTTTGGCTTTTCTTATGCGGTGTTCTATTTGTCTTTTTGATTGTTTATATTTTTGCGGGTCAGTGTTTTTGTATTTACGCTTTTCCTCTATAAGGTTTATGATTTCCTGTGTCATCCAGGGGTTTTTCGTATTATGTTCTCTTCTGCCTACAACTTGGTCCGCGGCAGTCAACATTGTAGATTTGATTTGGTCCCAGGCCATGTCGATATTTGTCGCTGATGCTTCCAAAAACTCACTTGCTATTGAGTCGTTAAACTCCTTCTGATACTGCTGTTGTTTGAGCTTTTCTGTGTTTATTATCTTCGGTTTTATTATCCTTTGCAGCTTCCTTAGTCTCACTTTTACGTTGGCTACAAGCAATTCGTGGTCAGTGTCCGCATCTGCACCTGGGTAGGTTTTAGCACTCTCAATGCTATTCCTAAACCGTCTGTTGACACAAATGAAATCAATTTGATTCCTTATGATCTTCTCTTTGCTACTTCTTGGTGATGTCCAAGTATAGAGTCGTCGAGGTGGTAGCTCATAAAAAGTATTCGCAATAACTAAATCTTTCTCCTGACAAAACTCTATGAGTCGTTCCCCTCTCTCATTCCTATCTCCCAGTCCGAAGCCACCAACAGTATTCTCGATCCTTCCCTTGCCAACCTTAGCGTTGAAATCCCCCATTATCACGTTAATTTCATGTTTCTTCAACTTTTTAGTTAGCTCGTTTAGGTCTGAGTAGAACTTCTCTATAGTTTCTTCATCGCTGTCGGCTGTGGGAGCATATACCTGTATCAGGTTGGTGTTTATAGGCTTTGTACGCAACTGGATCAGCATCATTCTTTCATTATAGGGCACGAAATTAGCAACATATTGTTTGAGTTCTTTTTTTATCATAATACCCACTCCATGTTGGTGTTCGCCGTTCTGACATCCAGAATAGTACAGTACCACATTATCGCTATTACATTCTCCAGCATTTGGCCATCTAACTTCGCTGAGACCAAGGACTTCTATGCCCATTCTGCGCATCTCAATAGCAACGGTTGTTAGCTTTCCAGTTTTATAGAGGGTCTTGATGTTCCACGTTGCAATGCGAGTTAAAGTCGTATTACTCCTGTTCTTCTTGTTACTCTTGTCAGTCTTTAAGATAGTTGCGTTCTTATTCGTTCTCCTGTCACGGGGATTTCTCTGGATGACGACCTGGGAGGCCCCGTGGTCTAATCGTGATATTCCTCCCCTGCCGGATCTTGGCTTCCGTATTCCATGATCAGTAACATCTCTCATTCTTGTACTTGACATAGTGGTTATACTAGGGATGCTTACTAGCCTTTAATACGGTGGTTTCCGTTGCCTTCCGTATCCTCATACCGTTGACATTGCTGTTCATCCGCCTTCGCGGTCGATTTCTCAACCCCAGGACAAGAGGTGCCCTTGCCTCAGCTGTTCCTCCGCCCTCTAAGAAAGAGGCCGTTGACAGCTTGGGGGGATAGCTTATTTCGGCTATCGTCGTTCGGTGCTTCATACTATCCCTCAAAAAGCAGGGTTGCCACTTTCGCCGGGTCCGCCGCATCGAAGATCTTCTTCTACGCCTTTACCGCCGGTGTGGGCTTCATCCGTAACCCTGGACAAGGGGCCCTCACAGGGTGCTATCAGCCGGAGCCAGCTGAACCCAGGTTTTTTTGCGAGGTGTTACTCCTCGATCCCTCCTCCTTCCTTGTCTCTTGCGTGACAAGGCCCCAGGCTTGGGACTGGTTTAGCGGAGTTTATAACAAATAAAGGGTGTGGGTAGTAGAAAGTACAAAAAGTGCTATTTTGAGCGGAAAACAAGAATTATAGGAAGAAGAGTTATTTACAAAAAGTTCTTAGCTTTTGAGTTATAACCAAAATACCACGAACAAATCAGATATGTTTTTATTTTATTTTGTTTAATATTCTTTCACGAAAAAATAGCACCCAGAAACACCCAGAAACATATAGAATAGAAGAAATCAAAACTATGACAAAGCTTTCGTGCCAAGGATTTTTTGAGCATAATTTCAGTAAGCTATAATAGGATATGTCTAGGATATAGTAGTGTTTATAATGTTTAGTCAGATATTTCTTCCCTATGTGGTGTGGTAATTGCTATTATTTTAATGTGGAAATTGATAGTATCGATTAATTATTGATCTGGTTATTCGTTACTACTTGTTTAGATTACTGTTTTTAAATATTTTAGTTACTGTCGTAGCGCCCCTCGCAAAAAGTAACGAATTAAAAAACCTTTTCACTAGTGAAATAAGAAAAGTGGGTTTCTATTTGAAAAAAATGTTTTATAATTTTTTAATCGCTCAATTCCATGACAGCTACGGCCAATATTATATGAGACTCGAATAATTTAATTTTTGAAATTTATAACAGTAATAATTTGTCGTTTAGGCTATTCAGTTTTTTTTAACTGGCAATTTTTTTCCTCCAAAAATTTTAAATATTTTTTTTTCTGAAAAACGGTTAATGTTAGATATAGTGTTTGATATGAAAATTCATAAAATTTTACAGAAAATTTAAATATGTTATAAAAAAATGGGGGTACCCATTTAAAATAAGATAGTTGCTGTCGACTTCCGGTATTTCCGGAAGTGTCGCCATATTGCAAATATTTTTAATCGATAGATCTCGGTGTGAAACAGTGATGTGCAAAATCTCCGATCTAGATATTGTAGTTTTCTAGAAACTTCTAATGTACGCTCAACCTGGGACACCCTGTATAAGGGTTTGTCGAAATATTTCAGTACGATTTTAATTAAAATCTTTAGAAGAGAACTTCGTTTTTTGCTGAAGGAATTTATATGTTTGAAAAGTAGAGGAAACTAACCAAATATGGAATACCATTTAGTTTTTGTGTCATACAGGGTGTTCCAATATTCCGTGGACATAAAACTACTATGTATTTTTGGAATCAAAATAAGTTCACTGGACACAATTTACCTCTATACAAAGATCTGCCAATTCTGAAAATATTTGGAATTGCACTTATTTCCAACTCACCCTGTATATCATCTTATAGTAGCTTCATATAATTTATGTTAAATAAAATTATTGTTATTCTCTGTATTATTTTTATAGTTTCGTTAGTATACATACCATATCACAATTCTCCTACATTTTGCGTGATAAAACAAGAAATATCATTGAAATTAAAATTGACTTCCCATTCACTCGTTAAAAATTGATAAAATATATGTGCTTCTAAAAACAACGCGAATATTTATAAATAAATATTAGAAATTAGTGATTTCTCGGTCTCTTATTTAGTTTTAAATTTTGAAAAATGAGGTTTTGTGGAATTCTTGTAGTGTTTATTTTAATAATGTGTGTAGGGTGCTTTAGAAAAAGGCCTGAGGACAAGACTAAGTGCCCTAAAGTGAAAGCAATTCGAAATTTTAATATAGAAGACGTAAGAACACCTTTTTTAAAACTACTTAGAATAACAGTTTTTAAGCTATGCAGTTCCAAAACTCATATTTATAGGGTTTTTCTAATGTGGAATAAAATCAATAAATCAGAAATATTTAGTTTTTCCTAAATTTAGTGGGTCGCGTCGATTAGTATTTAAATTCGCACTTTTTTATGTAATAAAATTTCATACAGCGTATTTCAAATTTTAGATATGATGTCATAAAAACTCAACATTGCTTTTAAATGTAACCTTAAATTTCTATAGCTAATCCTAAAGACAATTCTTATGCACTTTTATACCAGGCGTTTTTCAACAGTGGCGCACTCTTAGAACTTTTGTATTTGTATTTTTTGTTAAAAATAGTATATTGTTTTATTAGGAGTAAACATTATATAGTCTATAAAATGAATAACTTTGAATTTTGACCGTTATTTTTTACCAACATGGCAAATATAAAATCCCTCTATCCAAAAAGTTACTGATATTCTTTAAAATGAGTGCCTGAACGAATCAGATAGGTAACTCTTTTTAATTTCGTGAAATAAAAAAGGAAAATAATAAAACAAGTGACAGTTCTTCCTCTTCTTGCAAAAATCGACGCGAAATGTCATAATTGACAAAAGTAAAATGTCATCAGCTTTTGACATTTCTAAATATCAGACCAATGCAGTCTCTAATAGAACAGCCTGGGAGCGAGATTTATGACGTCACGCTAGTTAGATACCACTTATTAATAAATATGTTGTAGAATACATAGAAAACATAACTATTCCTCGTATTTTTGGTTTGTATTTTAAAAATGATATAGTTTACATGAAATATACATAATATACTTTTTTTAAGGTACATTAATAAATACAATATATATACCTATTTATAGTAATAAATACTTTGGCAAATAAACTATGAACCATACAAATGCAGCAAATGTTTTACAATATACAACTAATGAATAGGTACATAAGATAATGGGTAAAATGTAAAATATATTTTAAATTTTGGGATTTGAAAATCGATCTAATTTAACAAAAAACATTCAATATCTACTAATAGTGATGTATTATAATTTCCATTCACAAAATTTATATGTATATTTTGAAAGCATCAATGTTATCGAAAAATTATATTTGCAAATAATACAATATCATAGAAAAAAAGGCGTCAGCGATGGCTATGAAATAAAGATCGCTGTCATTTTATATGTGAAATTAATCTAAAATTTTTGATTTTCTTGGGATTTAGGTTCGGGAAAAACGCTAATTAAGTTTTCATTATTTTTTTTGGTTTAAAAAAAAAGTTATAGCTAACGTTTATAGCCTTCATCAGTGTTGTGTCATATGAAAAAAATAGTGTCGAATATAATCCAAAAAATTACATATACGAGGAATAATTATGTTTTCCATATATTCTACAACATATTTATTAATCCCTAGTATCTAACTAGCGTGACGTCATAAATCTCGCTCCGTGGCTGTTCTATTAGAGACGGCATTGCATCAGCATGGCCGCAAGTTGCTAACTTAATAAAATTAACAATAGGAAAGCCCGCGGTAACTGTCAAATTCAAAGTTATTCGTTTCACAGACTATAGGTACTTTTTATGACGAGGCTTTTATTTTGACAGTATGAAAAATTTAACCATATTTGATATTTAAAAACTATAAATGGAATTAACCATAATAATTTATACGGTATATAATATCAATGTATCTTGTATCCAAATATATTATCTACAGGGTGTCCTAATATTCCATCGACATGGAACTACTACGTGTTTTTGGAATCAAAATAAGACACAATCTACCTAAGTGCTTCGTTTGTCCTATAGAGCACATCAAACTCTAAAAAAATTAACACATTTTTTTAGATATTTTAAGAGCCGTTATTCTGATTTGAATGAAATGGCGGGTGCCTATGTTTTTCTAAGTGCCTAAACATTTGACTTTCACAAAAATTACGAAAAAGTATGGGAAGGGTGAAAACTACCCCCACCCCTACATAAATTTTAGTAGAAATATTATCTAACTCCACCGATGACCAAATTTGTTTTAGTAAAATGGTCCTTCGAGTATTATGTAGTAAATACCGGGAGGACCTGGTATTTACTTTAATAAAATATTTCTACTAAAATATATGTAGGGCTTTGGTTTGGGGGTTGATTTTTGTGAAAGTCAAATATAAAAGCGCTTAGCAAAACATAGGCACCCTAAATCTCATTCAAATCGGAATATCTAGTCTTAAAATATTTAAAAAAATGCGTAGATTTTTAAGTTTTATGGCTTCTAAGGGACCTTAATCTAACTAAGGGACCAACGAAGCACTTTTGTGTCTAACCAAACTTATTTTTAATCCAAAAATACGCGGCAGTTCTATGTCCACGGAATATTGCGACACCCTGTATAAGATGCAGGCGCAATAAACCGGTATCTAGGCGCTATTGCATATTGCACGCTACTGCCCAAAATACTAACATAACTTGTATTCTTGTTTGATTTTACTTCTTTTGCAGTTGTTAGGACAATGGTACGTCATTGAATACTACGCAAGTTCTGAAGAAGCTCTAGCCTACAGATGTATGAGGGCTGAGTTTACTATGTCGTCTCTGGAAGAAATAACCATGAATTTCACGTATAGCTTCACCGATGATCCCTTGAATGAACAACTCCTAGGCAACATAACTTGGATCATTCCAAACCCTATAGAACCCGCTCATTGGACTCATTCAGAGGATACTTGTAAGATAATGTCTTACATACATTACGTCGTTTTTAATTTTTAATATAATATTTTTTTTGTTGATATATTATATCAACAATGTTCCAAACACAGTGAATCAGAACCCAAAATATAATATGTATATTATATGTGTATATCTCTACAAAATTATTTTTTTGATATTATAATACAGTCATCAGACAAGTCTAGCGATAATTTTACAAAATCATAAATAAAATAAAATGGTAATTGTTTGGTAAACGGTTCTTCCCTTAGTTTAAAAAAAATATTTTTTTTTCCTTGTTTGCAAAGGTTAAAACTTTGTTTTAAAGGTAATCTGTAAAGGCTGTGGCTAAATCTTGATAAAATTTCTGTTTGAAATTTATCATTGATTATTTTGAGGCTGTAATAAATGATAAAAGCGAAGGTACTAACTTATAACGAAAGAAGAAACGAAATAAAATTTATGTTAGTGTTTGAATAGGTGAAAATTTTTTTTTTATTTAAAATTTTTACTATTTAAAAAAATCTAGGCAACATGTTTCGGGAATAACAATCCGATCTTTAGGCCCGGAAGCTAAAATGTTATAAGTAAAAAACAATCAAAGTCAAACATATTTGTCAAACGAACAGTAGTCAATAAGTAATAAAAGTATAAAATACTGGGAAAGTCAAAAAAGTTATAAGCGTGTTTCTGGGGTCGAAATATAATAACTAGCGATGGGAACTATCGAATGAATTAGACTATCGAATGGTTAATGAATGAATGATTTCAACTATCGAATGGTTTTATTCGAATAAAATCATTCATTCATTTGTAAACTAAAGCATATGTGACAACCTCGCCGTGCGACTAAATGGTTATCCTTGAGCCACGACTATCGAATGCTTTTGATAAATGAAATTTAGTATTCGTTTGAATTTTATATGCGTCAGTGCATTATTGGTTCTTCCAAATTTTTATAACTTCGCCGTATAAATACTGTGCTATTTTTGCGTTTATTAAAATAGTTAAAATACTAAAATAGTAGTTATTTTTTAATTTTATTTATTGACGATTGTGTGCATGTGCAGGTGGTCAAAATTTTTCCGATAATTTGTGTGGTTTTCCGTAGTCCGATCTTTCAATTATTTCATTTTATATGGTATATGGTCTATTTTTTAATGGGAAATTTTGAGAAGTAGCAATTTTTAAGAGAGATGAGATGAACTTACAATTAATTTTAAAAATACATATTTGTATTTTAGATGTTTTAATAATATGAATTAGTTGAACTTAATAATCATATTTAAGTAATATGGTTAAGTAAATGTGGTTATCGAACTCAAACTATGGGGTGAGAAAATTAAAATGAAAATTTTACACGTGCCAATTTAAAAAAAAAGTTAACGATGTTTGTATTTTGTTTATGCTAATTCTCTTACATGTAGTTTTTTGCGAAGAAATATTTCATTTATTTTTTAAAGTAAATGCCAGTAAAAGTAAATATAATTTTTAAAAAGTAATATAAAGCACCTAATATAAATAATTTTGATTTCTAATTTTTTATTTATATTTTCCTTCCATTACACCGCTTGCTTAGAAAATTAATAAATGTTTATATTTCATGATTTTAAAATTTGTTGTTAATATAACAAATTAGTTCTGTAATTATTATTATTTAATAAACCAACGTTGCCAAAAAATTTAGAGACTTTATTATTTTTAAATAGGATCTAATTAAAAAATTTTGACATCTGATTTGTTGTTTATATTTTGCTACTACTTAAAAAAAATATTTATATTAAATGATTTTAAATTTTGTTGTTAATAAGTATAACAAATTATTACTGCTATTATTATTTATTAAACCAGTCTTTGCTTAAAAACATTAAAAATAATTTTCCTACATCCAAAATAACAAGTATTATTGCAGTGTAACAACAGAATATTAATAAAAAAATGCAGAATATATAGACATACTATCCCTAACTAACTAAAGCCAAACAATAATATTCTTTGCTAATATCAACTAATACAAAAATATGGCAACAGCGCCCTTCATAATGTATTTTCTGTGTAAATACTAGCACCTCAATAAAAAAAATAATGTTTCCTTATCTATATATGACTCCGCAAAAAATCAAAGATGCCGGCTTCTTTCATAGCATTGCCACCGACCGCTGTCGGGTTTCTCGGAAAAAAACCTACGTCGCCGGGCGACAACTAAAATTCAGTTAATATTTTATTATAATCGATCCTGACGAAATGAATTTCATAAATGAATGGTTTTTGCTGCCGAATTACTAGAATACAATATTTCAAGGCAGATGACGGATCTATTCGATAATTTTTATTCGAATAGTTTTCAACGAATGTTTTCTTACTAACTATCGAATTATTCGAATGAATTGCAACTATCGAATGTTTCGATAGTATTCATTCGATAGTTCCCACTAAATAATAACCCTAAAAATTTTTGCATTTATTTAAGATTCACCCTGTATGGACTATAGTAAAATGTTAAAAGAAATACAGTTAGGGTTGGAACTTTTGGTGTTGAAAGAGCAAAATTCCAACACTTAATCACTAAACACAATACGCCAAAATCCTTTACTTGTAGATGACTAAAATTAAAATATTTATCAATAGTTTAGTTTTAATTATTTGTTGATGCTGCAAACATGGTTAGCGAAACGTGCCTCCAGTGTTGCAAGTATAGTATTTTGGTGTATTGTGGTGAATTAGTGATTTATTATACAGTAAAATGTTGTTTAATTGTCCTTTGCAGATGAAGGTGTGTATAACACATACGTCTTAGATTCAGACTATATTTCTTGGGCTTTACTTCTTCACTGTGCTGAGAAATCTAAAGTTCCAAGGTAGGTGCTAACTTAATTTTTATTATCGAAATTCAAATTTTTCATCATAAGAATGTTATGTTGTTGAGAACTTTAGCTTTTTCTTTGTCTAAAAAATTTAATTGATGAAATATTTATTTTATTTAACGAACCTGAATTTATTAAAGAAAAATAATAAAATTAATATTTTGTAGATATTTATCAAGCTTTATTATGAGCAGGGAGCCGACTTTAGGAATTAATGTCATATCATATCTAAGAGATAAACTTCCCAGATACGACATTGATCTGTCATACATGTTTAACATGACACAACATGATTGTAATGCTACAACTTTGGACAGTATTTCACCAGCCATTCTATTGAACTTGGACAGACCAAAAGAAATAGGAACAAGACGGCATCCTATGAAACACTTCCATGGATAAAAATAATTATGTTTACGTATTTTATGTAGATGTATTATGGTTTTATACTTAATAAATATAATTTTTTAAACATATTTAATGACATTCTCTTTCTTTTATTAATTTTTTATCTATTTTATATTTGACAGAAATATTAATGTCTTTGATACTTTTGTATTGTACAGGGTGTCCCATTTTCGTTGAAATCATACGGTATCTCCGTTATTCGTGAAGATAGAAGGGTGCGGTTTGCACAAACCTGTGCCACTTTTTTGTCAAACGGAAGATGCCGTAAACGAAATTTTCATAGCCCCCTTCGTTTCTGAGCTACAGGGTCTTTTTGAAAATTTTGATATTTGAGACAGCCCTTGTATGTCTGTTATTGTTAAAGGTATCGAGACGGTGAAAAACTGTTTTTAAAGATATGAACTCAAGTTACGTTTTCTTAAATGGAACACACTGTATATTTTTAAATTATATGATCTGGCTTGCCATAAGCTTCTCAAAAATATATATCACTCTATATTTATTTTCACTATTTACTGCAATATTTAAAAAAATATATTATAGAAACATATTTATTAGTAGGCCATGGGAGGGATATATAATGAAAGAAACTAACGAATTATTAAAAGTATACTACTATCTGTCTCTTCTTTTATTTTGAGAGCCACTAATAAATTCCTTATATATTAGGAAAACGTAACTCTCTACCGCTATTTGTAAATCTTGGAAGCTATCGTATCGGAATTTTTAAATATTCCTTTAGCTAATTTACGTAAAATATACTTTCAGCAAGATGGCCCTCCCTCACAACTTAACTTACAACAAAAATATTAGAATTTAGGACAAGGACCAAAGCAAAGGTGTGGTTTTGACGTAAACAATACGAAAAAAGGTTAGTGTCTTTTTCAAAAGCGAATATCTCCAAAAAGAATAAAGCTATTGAGATAAACCAAAAAACAAACTATCAAGAAAAGATACACCTAATGATAAAATAATTTCTAAATCCCATGCTTTATTAACGTACTCCACAGGGTGTTTCAAACTTTTGCCAAAATATCAACATTTAGTTTTCCCTCATATAATTGACAGATGGCAACTTTCATTTTTAATTTAAAAACAGACACTAAAAAGTAAAATAACTTAGCTACAAATTGCTTACAAAATCATCAAAATCGGTCCACTAGAACGCAATATATAAAACTTTAAAATACATGAAAATTTTAAGTTGCCCGTTCTTCGTGCCGGTGAGGGTATCTTTACAAAATGGTGAATGAAAATAATATACCAGTTTTCAAATTAAATAAATAATAAAAAAAACTCCACCATTTTGTCATGGTGATCAAGCCACATTTTGAGTAAATTTTTAGCTGTATATTTATATCGTTTTTTTAATTAAACAATATAATTTAATACAATTTTTTAATTTTCGATATTTTACACTATTTTTTCTAACAAATTTCTTAACTTTAAATTAATTGTTTTATCCGTCGTTTGACTTTTTTTGTTATTTTATTATTTTTTTTTGTTTTTTTTTAATCGAATTAATTGACTGATTCTTAAATTTCGTAATTAGCTAAAATATAATTTTTATTTTATTTTATTTTACAATTTCTTTGTATTATTTTCATTTTAACTACGCGCATTTTCTATATAAATAACCAGATATTTTAAATTGTAAATGTAAATTGTAATTAAAAAAACATTTTTACACAAGATGTTTTCTTTTTGAAGAAGTAAATTTAATTAATCTTGACAAATTGGTGAAAGTATGATAACTTTTAATCACAAAAAATAGTAAGCCAGTAGTTTAATTCTTGGGTTTTAATCATTTTGTGACCATTCTCTTGAAGAATTAAGAACTATTGTACAGGGTGGGTCAAATTCGACGCTTTTAAATGGAAACACCCTTTTCTATAGGAGATAGAGAAAAACTAATATCGGTGTCTGGAGCTCAATTTTTGTCAAAAACATGATGGTGAAAACCGCATATCGATATCTGTTACCGTTTCGGAGTTACGGGGTGTTTTTCAAAAATATGCATTTTTCCAAAGCACCTTTATTTTTTTTCCAAAGCACCTTTTTTACGTAGAATTTAATGGTTTAAGTATAATTTTTAATTAATTTAATTAATAATTTAAGAATTATCAACAGAAAATTTGATTTTTTATATGGGACACCCTGTATATTTTTAATTTATTGAAAAGAATTTAAAATTACCTTTCCGAAAATATAACACACTTGATATTTTGCTCGATTCCTCTTCAAGATATTGAGTATATAAAAATTCGCCCGCTTTAAATAAGTAGGCTTTGAACGGCACCGGCTGTAATGCAAAAAAATTCTAGCTGTGAGCATCAATTAAAACGAAAATAATATTTGCTATGAGAGACGCAGAATTTTATAACAATTTAAAATATATTTAACCAACATCAACACATTTAAACTATATCTAATAACAATAAAAATAAATAGCAAACCAAGACATGAGATTTTGCTACAGGTGTTCGACATATCAACCGACGTCTATTATGGACAGACGGGGCAGTTTTTGAACATTTCTCGCGGAATTCATTAACTCAGTGGGGGTGAAAGATACCCTCTCATGACTGCTAAGTATTTCTAATTCTTGTCTAGATTGGAAGAACAAGGAACATTTATTCTTTCGCAAATATATCCATAGGATTAAATCCATGCGCACTAAGTCAGGCGGCTTCGACGGCCAACGGCTGGGATCTTGGTTAGCTATTTAATTATTCTTGAAATTGGCTGCAAAAATTTGCTGACAACTTCAGCGTTCAGAGCATGTTCAGAGGCGGTGAGTCGTCTTGCTGAAAAAATATGTTTTCGAGTTCCATTAAGGGCATTTCATCAATAAGGGGTTCAAAGCCTACTAGTTAAAAGTGGCGAACTTTGAAAAATTCTGTATTTCGAAGGGGATTATAACAAAATATCAAATTTTGCTAAATTTTTTTTGCAATTTAAGAGTAATTTTAAATTTTTTCTTTTCAGTTAATTAAAAATATAGAGGTGTCCCAAATAAAAATCAAATTTTCTGTTGATAACTCTTAAATTATTAATTTTAAAAATTATAATTTAAACCATTAAATTCTACGTAAAAAGGTGCTTTGGAAATGTTTTTATAGAAATACAAAATTTTCCATATTAAAAGAGTTACAGCGATTTGTTAAAAATGGACATTTTTGAAAAACACCCCGTAACTCCGAAACGGTAACAGATATTGATGTGCGGTTTTCACCATCATGTTTTTGAAGAAAATTGAGCTCCAGACACCGATATTAGTTTTCGTCTATCTTCTATAGAAAAGGGTGTTTCCATATAAAAGCTTCGAATTTGACCCACCCTGTACATTGTACTATACTGTCTTTGTATATGCATTAAAAAATTTAAACAAGGATACTGTTTTTCATATTTTCTATCATATTCTCTAACATTAACCTAGTAAATAACACGAAGAAATAAAATGCAACATTTCTTTTTAGAACTTTATTTTGTAAAGACAAAAATATGACATAAACTATATATAATAAAATTACCTTATCTTAACCTATATATAAACATATACAATGATTTTAAAAACATATTCTCCTTATTTTATGTTCAACCTTAAAATATGCTTTCGTTTATCTATTAAAGTTATCCTTACTTCAAAATACAATAAAAATCTATCTATTTACAAACAATAATATTCAACATTTATCACCAATATCTTCATCAACTTGTTCTCTTTCATTAATTTCATTAACATTTATTTTTTACACCAAAAATTTTATCGAAAAAACGTTTTTTTCGAAAAATTTTCTCTCTACATAAACATTTAAAACATTTTTTATTTTCACATAGATGGTAATGGACATTTAGTGTTATTAACATTTCTTAATGTTTGTATATTATATATAATAACGACAATTTCTTTATATTTAGGGGTTCAGAAATAAAATAAAAAATGTTTGTAACCAGGATATTTTTCTTTTTTCGAAATTTTTGAGTATTTTTAACAGTATCACTATTAGAACTAAAACTAGAAATCTTTCCAATATAAAAAACTTTAAAGGTATAGGTATAAATTTTATATCTATATAAGAAATATTGTACATTTATTTTTTGTCTAATTTGTTGTAACAGGTTATAGGTAATTGAATACATGTTTTCCATATATACCTGAAGGTCATTTGAACTATTATTTTTAAGCAAATTCCAAAAGACACTGATTTTAGGTACATTAATATTATTTTTATCCCAAATCAAATAAAAATATAAAACAAATCTACAATTATTATTAGAAAATTTACAGCATCACAATAATTAAAAATATTTTTTTTTCCAAAAGAAAAATTTAAATTTAAATAAATACTATACAAAAATTGTACAATTACAAGTATATTTATAAAAAAAAACTAAAAAGAATCGTATTAATAAACATCCGTAATATACAGTGCGTTCAGAAAATAAAAATAAAATTTTGTCAATTTTTGATTTATTTTAAAATTTTATTTTCAGACATAGTAAAAAAGTAGCTTATAGTTTGGATAAATCCAAATACTTTAATTAATTAGAATTCCAACAAATATTTCACTTTCTGAACTAAGTACATTGGAGATCAAAAAAATGCGCAAAAGACAATTTAGTCAGTCAAATATGTGTTATAAATTTTATAAAAATTATTTTGGTTTATTTTTAAAAGTAATTTTAATACAACACAGTAATTTGACAGATAAATATGCTTTTACTAGAAAAAATAGTACACAGGATGAGAAAAAAATATGTTGTATATCATAAATACCATTCTTCTTTTTCTTATAGGCACTTTCTTACAAGTCACAGTCAACATTCATTTGGAATTTTGTGCTACAAAACGTTTTTTAGTGTTTTAATATACCAGCCGTCCCAAAAATACCTATATGGACAAGTTTTCATATTTAAAACACTTTTATATATAATCTCAATAGTTTTAAAATATATACAGGGTATAAAGCAGTTCTCAATAAAATTCTATATTTTCTCTATAAGAAATATTTTTAAAATACCCTGTATATTATAAGTAGTAGGTTTTGATATGAGGTTTTGTGCGGTGTGAGCATAATTTTAACGTACTTTTTGTATAGTTGAATAATTTATATCATTAAAACTATATTGCACTTGATTTGCTTCTCATATAATAAAAACAAGCAATTTTAAAATAAAAAAAAAAGTTTAAAAAAATAAACCAAAACCTTTCATGCCAAAATATTGAAACTTTAATTATTATTATTGTGTTTATTATTACAAAAGAAACAAACTTCAAATCGGCCTTACACATTTTAAAAAAATTGTTTATACCATTCATTATTATTAGTTATCGTATAATAATTAAGTTCTGTTCAATTTAAAACAAACAAAAAATCACTTACATTAAGGACCACAACCGTTTTTAGTTTATATATTTTAATCATATCTCGATATTGAGGGTCTCTTTAACCAACTGGATCTTCACAACCAATAAGAACTTGAGTCACAACAGTATATTGTTCAGAGATCAGCCGTAAGCAAAACATTTCACAGTCTACATTATTCCTTGCTAATTAATTTTAATTAGTTAGCTAAATTTTATTTCAAACTATTATTTTTTAATTTACGCAAATTAGCTATAAGTAGCTAATTAAAATAATTAGCCACAAATAGCTAATTATTTTAATGAAATATCTCTAATTAACTAGCTATTTGAATTACGTGGAAACCACACAAAAATATTTTTAGTCAGTTAACAGCCTAGCTAGTTAATTAACGACTCTTAGCTAGTTAAAATAAAATAGCTAACTAATTAACTTTTTAACAAATAATTAACTATCGACTTCTCACATAAAAACATTGCATATTTTCGCACATTTTCAACGCGCATTGTTCGGCAAATTAAAATAGCTAATTAACGTTTCCCTACCTAATTAATTAACTACTTTTTTACGTAAAAAACACTGGATTCGTTGTATACAGTACGTAGGGTCTTCCGTATCGAATAAAGGGACCAGAATACGAATATCTATAATAAATTAGCTACCTCTATATTATTGAAAGAGTCTTTTGTTGTACTATGTCTTGGACAAATTAACATTGGGCTTGAGAGATGAAGAGGAGACGAGATTGGATCTATCTACTTTTGTTTTCGATCTCTTAGGGTTGGTAGTTTTCTGGGTGGTAGTTCACGCTGTCCCCGTGCAGTCTATTTCGACTATGTCTTTGGGTACTTCGACAAACTGGTAGACTAGTCGTTGACCATCGACTTTGGCGAGGATACCTCTCTGATAGTAGTACCTGGAAAAGAAAGTAAATTTGAAAATATGGTCCATTTTGATAGTTAAATTCAGAAATTTAAGCTAACAGTATCCAAAGCTGCAAGCTCAGAGAAAACTTAAGTATTTTGTTGATTTAAGTCATTTTAATGACTGAAGTCATTTGATTCTAAGTCATTCGATTTAAGACTTAAAAATTTAAGTCTTTCTCAAAATGATTTGTGATTTAAATTTTTATTCCGAAGTAGAAAAAGATTTTAGTCTTTTTACAAAAGACTAATGAGTTACTTTTAAATGAAAAAGGAAATTAAAGATAAAGGATTTTACTATATTCGTATTGTAGCACATTTTTAGACAACTTCTTTATTTTTAATATTTTGATGATTAAACATCAACAAAATATTCCTTATGTTTGGACTAAATTTTCTCGAAAATAAAGACATAATTTAAAATGACGTTACTATACGGAAATAGATTGAAGTTTTGTGATTATAGTGATATATAATTTATATGGTTTTGTAACAAATTGCCCGCTATTTTATGCAAAATGCTGAGGCTCTGTAAACCGTAATCAAGCCTTAATCAAAGCACATGTGTTTCGAATTTTGGGTGTGGCTTAACACGACAGGATCGGGTTAAGCCTTAGGCAGATTTCTGAAATACACACACCGGAAAAGTCTAGGGATATTACAATTTTATCCAGCCATCGTCAGTAATTTTATTATTTGCATTTCTGATATAATAAAATTAAAATAAACAAATAGTTTATAGGACGTATTGGAAATAAAAATGCTTGATTTTTATCGAACTCAAAAAAATACACACATTTTTTTTTATTCTAAACTGCGAATTAAAAAAAAAAAGATAAAACCTTTTTACTTAATAAAGGGTATGGCCTCCTCTACTGTTCATTATTACAGCCCTACATCGTCTCTCCATGCTCCTGATCAGGTTGTCGATCTCTTCTTGAGGTACAGCCTGCCACGCTGCATTCACGGCCCGAACCAGATTCCTACGAGTTTCACGAGGCATACCCATTCTCAAAATTCTTCTTTGGACCGCACCCCATACGTGTTCGATGGGGTTGAGGTCAAGAGATTGTGCCGGCCAGGGTAAGATGTTTAATTGATGAGCATTGATAAACTCACTTACCACTCTGGCTGTATGAGGCCGTGCATTGTCATGCATGAGAATGAAGTTTCTCCCAAAATCATTGGCATATGGTAACACGACAGGCTTAAGAATTAAATCACGATATGTGATTCCTGTTAGAAACCTTTCAAGAAAAACGAGATCGGTTTTTCGGCTTAACTGGACTCCTCCCCAGACCATAACTGTTCCACCTTGATAAGGGTGCACTTCCTGAACATGATCCAAACGAATAAGATTTCCCGGTTCTCTCCATACCCTGAGCCTTCTCGAATCCGGATGAATTCCAAAGCGTGACTCATTCGTGAAGAGAACATTGGCCCATTGTTCATTCGACCACTGAACATGATCTTGAGCCCACAAATATCGTACCTCTCGATTTCCTCTCGTTAAGGGTTGAGCTCTCCAGGGGCGTCTGCTTCTTAAGTTGACCTCTCTTAGTCTATTGCGAACAGTGTCAGGACTAACGGTTACATTATGTGTTTCCTGGATAATTAAATTAAGCTCTGGTGCTGTAAGAGTCGGTCGGCGTCAAGCATTTAATTGTAAAAAATGATCTAGCTGAGGGGTAGTAATGCGATGTCGCCTTGTGTGCCTTTCAGCAACATCACCACTTTCACGGTAGCGTGCACTTAATCGCCATATTACACTTTGCGTTGTATTTACTGCTCTAGCTACGTCGATTTGGCGCATTCCAGCTTCAAGCATATGGTCCTTAGCATTTCATCTCTGTTAAGATGTCTACGCTCCATAATGTCGTTTAATACTAAACAGAGTTATTTGAATAAATTCTGGCCAGTTATCATAAAAACATAGCCAGTACAGGTTAAATTCGAACAATTGATGCTAGGTGCTTTTTATACATTTGACAAAAATGCACAAACACTTCAATAAAAATGGCAAATATCCCAAATTTAGAAATAACTAGTGTGACTACTTCGTTTCAATCGAAGTAGAAAGAATCGGCCTACAAATATGTGGTTGTTTATTCAAAACATTTATTTTTTACAACATTTATCTTTAATAAAATGATATCCCTAGATTTTTCCGGTGTGTGTATAATATATATTTCCTTCGGTCACACACCTGCTTTATCCGAACCCTGAGAGCGACCCGAAAGTACAGCGTAATAGACTCTTTTTAAGTCGTTTTAAAACTGACTTGTTGCAGCTCTGACACTATCTAACTAATTGAACAGAAATATTTCTCATAATATTACTACATACCTTAAAGCTCTACCCATTGTTTCGTAATTCATATCCGGTTTGTTTTTGTGCATGCCCCACAATCTGGAAACAGCTTTCGAGTCCACTAATTTAAAGATTCCTTTTTCTCTATTGGTCCACTTGATATACCGCGGGCAGTACTCTCTGTCTTGGAGAAGTTTGAGCAAGAATTCCCATAGGTACGTCGTCGAGCCTTCTCGACTTTTCCGTTTGGGGGCGGTACCAGGCTCTCCAACCTGTAACAAATAATTGGATCTTTTAGTAATATTGGACATAAATCAAATTTGAAAATGTAGGTTATTTGGTAGAGGAAATATTATTAGATAAGGATAATAAAGCCAGCTATGAGACTTTAGTTTGGAATTAAATATATATATAGATAGATAGATGAAGTACCCTCAATTTAGGATGCTAATTACAGTAGTGAACCTCCAAACCCCTAAAACATTCCAAAAACAGATACTTTAACCACACTTACCTTTTGTTTCTTCACTTTCTTCAATTTTCTCGGCGAAAATCCCAAGAAATAAGGGTCGTCATACACGCTACTCGTTGCCGCCTGTATCACCGACGTGGGGATGCCCGCGTGCCTCAAGGGCGGTGACGGAGGCGTTGGCGTGGTGAACGGTGATGTCGTCGAGTGGTGAGGGTGGTGATGCACCGATTGGTGAGGGTGGGTGACGTGATGTTGCTGCGCTTGGAGCAGGTAGTTTTGGTAAGGATCCAAGTCTGAAAAGAAAAATTAAAGTTGTACTAAAAGTCAGAATAAAGAATATCTTTAAAAGACACAAGTTCTATGGATAGGAAATATGTAATTGTATATCAAAGTCAAAGAATTGACAATACTAATAATAATGTATATTGTATATAATATATTGTATAATATAGTTATATTATAACTATATATATGTATAGTTATACCGGCAGTAGCAGATATACAAACGATACACATACACTCGAGTCAATTGATAGACAACTATGGTCATTACTAGCAAAATTTAACATATAATTAAATCTTATCATCAACTCAACCTAAAGAAAAGAATTTTAAATCAGTTGATATATTACTTCATAATAATACTAGTCATGACATACTGCTGTAAGACTTGGATGTTAAAACAAGGATTTCTATAAATCTCTATCTCCAGATGACACTCAGGTCTATGAAGTGCAGTATGCTTAAAGAACCTCAAAATGGCAATGTGGATAAAACAGAAAGTCCAAGTAACAATCATGACCTATAGAATTAAATACCTTATATTATTATGTCAATGCATCAGGTCACCTAGCATGAAGTGCTGTTGAATTAGCAAAATAAGTAAGAAGTAATTAAATTAATATATTAAGTTATATTACTTCTTACTTATTAACTTAATATTTATATTAAGTTAATAAGTAAGTTAATATTTATATATTAAGTTAATAAGTAAGAAGTGTCAAAATTATCAATTATCAAAGTCAAAATTTTAGATGGAATTACAACCATTTGTACGCAAGCAGGATCAAAATGACACCATTCAACAAAACAGCGAAACATGGGCAAAACTAACAGAAGATGAATTATGATGATGATAATAAACTAAATAAATTAGCAGCAATATACTATTTATTACAAAGTACCTAAATGCTTAGTTTCTTACTATCTGAAGATGCCGAAGATGAATATATAGAATCAGCACTCACTAAAATAAAATGCAACTTGGAAAATCGATTTTTCTTATTTGGTGATATGTTGTAGTCTTGAATTTAGAAAATCGTTATGTTTTTGAGATTGCCACTTTTTGTTCCAGAGATATTCGTTGTTAAATATTTCGGGAAACAGAAAAAATATTTCTTTTGTAGATTTTCTCAGATAACTCAAGATCTATTAGAGATATCGCTAAACGGTTTGCTGCAGTCAATTCTATGTAATTTTTATCAGTAAGAATATTTTAGTTGCGATCTGAGTCATTTCGGTTTTTGACAAAATCGACAGGGGGTGCCGAGGATTTTTTTCGAAAAATTATGGGAAATTTGCATATTTGGTGATATATTGTAGTCCTCAATGTGTAATTTACAAAACCATTTCGTTTTTGAAATTGACGCTTTTTGTTCCAGAGATATTCGTTGTTATAGATACTTGTACTTGTGTATACTTATAGAATCTCATAGATACTTGGTATTTCTGAGACTATTGGTAGGAAAAAAAATTGTAGATTTTGCTAATCAGTTTTATTTGCTATTAAATTTAGTACCTAAAAGACAAGAGTTAATTACAAAATACTACAGATTTGTATCAACTCCAGGTAACTCCAAATCAAACACACAAACAAATTAAGATCGCTGAGACATGCTCAAAAGAGTAATAGTAACAATACTCTGAGAAGCCCCTAGACATCTAAAGATCACTTGGATGCCAAAACTTCGATGGCGTGACAACATCCGTAAAGACCTTCAGACTTTGGAGCCATTATCTCGGAAGAGACCACTCAGGATCAGAACGAACGGAGGGGAATTGTTGAGACGGCCAAGACACCCCGGGTTGCAATTTCTTATTTAAAGTCTTCTAAATGTGCCTTCTAAGTAGTTAAAGAAAGAAATATATTCCACAATCACTATTTAAAACCAATTTTGGATCCAATTGGTAATTTTTTGTGAGGGTGCTTCTCCGTAACACTTTACTGAGAAGAAGTTTAAGAACTTTATCTCAAGTTCTGATGGAAAAGTGGCAGTTCTTCTTTAACTAGGCCTTGGAAATAGTTTTTTTGACCAAAATTGTTTGAGTATCATTCTGTCGAAGATTTTTTACTTTAATATATCCAATTTCGTGGTTGAGGACATCCAAACTGTTGCATATCTTCTAAGAGTCTCAAGCGACTCTATTCGACTTTCGCTGTCCCATTTAACGCTCCGGGGCAAGGGTGAGACATCGAAGGCCACACCGGCCGACTCGGTGCGGCGGCAACGTCGCAAACGGAAGCCCGCGTGCCCGTGTCTGGCGCTGGCGGCGTCGGCCGGTCCTACCGCGACCTTGAATTCGCGGAAAGGCGTTTGGCGACGCGCGCGCGACAACGGAGGGTCGCTGAACTACTGACCGAAGGAGAAGTCGGCTGCCGTCGGCGCGTAAGGGCGGCGTTGCCAGGTTTTGGGGGGACCGGGGGAGAAGAAGATTAGGGAGCGTGTGTTGGAAAAAAGGAGAAGATGAATAAAGGATAGGTGGAGGAAGGTCCGAAGTAGAAAAAGAGTTTTGTTTTCCGTATCTGGGATACAAAAGACACTGAAGTAAGATTAATTTTACTTGATTTTTGATGGTTATGAATCATATTCAATATTTTTGTATGTAATGTAATCTTGATGATGACAGCGATATCGAAACAACGGTTCCCAATCTATTACTGAAGTCAAGCGACGTTAGACGATGTGGATAGATGGACGGGTTAACGTCTGAGATGTTCAGTCATGCTGTTAGAGATCAGAGCATCGGCTATCTCGTAAGAGTTGATTTACACACTAGTTATCTCGGTAGGTAGTTATATAGTTATATGTCTGAGGATCGAAGTTTGGACTCCACGCAAACAAATAAGCCCCTCCAGATTGGCTCTAGCTACAAAAAGGAAAAGTTAACTTAATATGATGAATTATCATCAGCCATAATGGGAAAATTCACTTGAGAAGAACTTTATAAATAAGATGATAATAATTGTGATAAATAAGATACATATAAATTGTTAGATATTCTATTATAATATTAATAACCTGTCAATTTATGAAAAAATCCCACTTCTGATGTTAGATATAAGATTATAATATTAATAATATGTCAATTTATGAAATAATTATTATGTTGACGTAAAAAGTGACAAGGCACGTGGTTATCGTACTGCAGGTACCCTCTCACTCCCTGAAATATGCGCCAGACCGTCTCTGGGACTTGTCTATACACATAATATACTTCAGAGATATGGTCCTATGCATTGGCGTACTGCTAACATAAATAATGTGAATTATGTAAAACTATTCTGTAAAAAGCATTCGGTAGCAGAATTCGCTACAGACTACTATCATAGGATTGGAGCTAACAAGTAAGCAACCATAAAGAATTGGCTAGGAACAGAGATATTGGGGACTACTTTCAAAAATTACGCTCTATAACTCAAAGAAGTATTATGCAAACATGTTACTACAAAAAAAAACAAGCAGGCCAACACATACATTTCTGTTAAATTAACAATTTTTCTAATAGCTAGTTATTATTTCTTAATAGCAATAGACTATATCACTGGCAAATACTATGCTTTTTTGAGAAATTTTGTTTGTTAACGTCACCTAATATTTCCAAAACTGTTGAAGATAAGTTTAGGATATTGTACACGAGATATGTCTACAACATTTCACATGTAAAAAATAACGTATGATCGAAAAAAACAGCGTCCAGTTGGCTTGGTTAGGTAGCTAATTTTATATACAAAATGACAACGATCCTTTATTCCATAGCCCTCGCTGACGCCGTTTTTTTTCGATTATATTGTATTATATATTACTATGGCTATAATTTAACCATAGCAATAATATATTTCTAGTTAATATAAGATCATTCAAAAAAATAAATAAAAAGATTTTTATTTTTGTCAATTGAAGTTCTTAATAAGTATAAATAAACCAAATTATTTTAAAAGGAATTTTATACGATACCAAGTCTAAGATTATGGTTAAGTAACATTTTTACTTGAAATGGATTAAAATAAAGCAGAAATCTGGTATTAGTGGTATAAAAAAATTGTAGAAGTTGGAACGTGCATCCATAATGATCAATAAAACAAGAAAACTTCCTACAAGTCGACCAAACTGTCTAATTTATTTCTCAGAGCGTCCAAAAAACTAAATAAAAAGATTGCAGCTAATCGAATTGGCTTAGACAGCGAAATTTCTTCAGACGTCTTGGGTCTGCAGCGGGCAGATTCAATAACCTCTTAAAACGAAAACAAAAACAAAGGAATTAACCGTCTCGACAGCTCCCGTCCGTCCGGGTACCATAAATGGTACCGTTGAGTTCCGAAAACCGGACTCGAACAGTCTGTCTGTCTTGTCTGGGGACGGACTGACTAAAACCAAAACTATTTCAACGAAAAAATCTATACCAATATTTCTTTTTTGAGTTTACGTTACTAAAAGCTCATACTAAAAAGAAAAGTTCTTTTAGAGCCATGAAATTTGAGAGCCATGAAACTTGAACTTGAGAGCCATGACATTGAAGTAAGAAATCGTAAGAAAACTCCAAGTACCTAAGTCAAATATCTATGGATCGATGTATGATTAAAATAAAAAAGAGAGACCACAAGAGGTGTACCTTAAGGAGATTAGAGAGAAGACCCAATTAATAAAGTGATATATACAGAGTGAGCCTTAAATAAGTGCAAATATTTTTAGGTGTAGTATATCTCGACCCCCGAAACAATTTTCGAGAATTTTAAACATGCGAAAATTTGGGTTTTTTTTAAATTTTTAGTTAAAAAACATAACATCTTGAAAATAATCCAAAGAGGTAAAATAATAGAATAAATTTACAAGAAAGAAATCCAGAAAAGATCCGGTGCTTCTCAAAATTTAAGCAAAAAAATATACAGGGTGGTCCGAACTGTATTCCGGAAACTTCGGCAACATATTCTGCAGATAAAAATGAGTATAAAAGTTCATATAAATGCCTAAAATGCTTAGTTTCTCAGATATAGGGTGTAGAAGTTTCATTTTTA